TGATATTAAAGAGACATTGGATCTGCCAGGAGGAGCTTTAAGAAAAAGCTAAAGACCCAGCTCTTTCATGAATACCTACTAACTTAATGATGATGGTCTCCATATTATTGATGATGATGATGGTAATGACGATGGTTTTTGTTTGATAAAAACAAAAGAGAGAACTGCCCTCAATGTTGGGCTTTGCCTCTGGTCACTTCCTGTCAGCACCTGTGTGTCCAATCAGACTCAAAGCTGATCGTTTGCTCTTACTGACATTGTTCCCTTTTTTTTCGAGATCCTTGCTTGTGTTGTACTTACTCTCTGATGTACGTCGCTTTGGATAAAAGCGTCTGCTAAGTGAATTGTAGAATTGTAGAATTGATGACAAAGAGAGTTGCTTGAATCATCAGTGCTTCAGAAGCAGTTCATCTGTGGCATAATTGATAATAGTAATTGACATACCCTTGTAAAGTCCCTGGGCAGCACAATGTCTGTCACAGGGACTTACACACTGAGGCATGCTAATAGCATTTATACGCAGTCTGGACACCAAATTAACAGAGGTCACTGTGCCTCACTCCCTGCTCTGACGGATGTGCATACAGAAAGGATTATCCTGCAAACTGTGAAATACTGGAAGTGAGGGGACAGCGAGGTCAACTCCTCAGAAGGGGGGCCCACTTGAACACCATTAGGGAAGACAGAAGTGTATGTGGACACCCTGAGATCTGTGTGTTCATGTAAGTCTGTCTGTGTCCATCTTATGTTGCCTCTGTTCTTTCATTGTCCTCATCCAAATAATCCAAATAATACAACTTTGCTGAAGAGCACGTCTTTTTTTGTAACTAATGTTGGATGTGGCTCGTTGCACATCCACAGCATTTTGCACCGTCACCTGCTCTGCACACATTACATCCTGTGAACACCTTCTTTCCTGTGTGACACCAGCATGAGTTGCCTGGTTCCCCGCCTCCAGCCTCCGCTCCTGTGCCAGGTGTAGGTGTGGTTTCTGACTCAGGCATGTGTCCAAACAGCCAAAATCCCCCCCAAAAAAGTCCAGAGGCCTCAATTTTCACCCCAGCATGTGGACCACACCCGGTGGCACTTTCCAATTAGACAGAACGGAAGGTGAGGCCGGGTGTGATGCCAACGACCTTTGCATCAAACCATGGCTGTCACTGACACACAGTGATTCTACTAAGTTCCAAATTTCAAAGATAATTAGCATTTTCTTCTTCTGTCTTCATTTTTTTTTTTACTTGAGAGAAAAATCCCCTGCAGATTGTCGATCTTGTTAACCCCCAAAGGCAAAAGGTTGACGCATTAGGAAGCAACGGAGGAAAGGAAAAGAGAATAAAAAATGTCACAGGCCGGATTTATTTAAGTGGGGAGTCAAGCAGAACACCCTGTACGTTCACCACCTGCTAGCTGTGGATTCAGCCACAGGGCTGTGATGCTGGATGCATGGTGTGTGTGTGTGTGTGTGTGTGTGTGTGTGTGTGTGTGTGTGTGTGTGTGTGTGTGTGTATGTGTGTGTGTGTGTGTGTGTGTGTGTGTGTGATATCACAGCATCCCATGGTTTACTGAGGCTAACAGGGAATGGGATTACCTCTGACTATTGATTGAGAGAATGTGTGCACCCAAACACACACACACACGCACGCACACGCACACACAAAAGATAGTTCTGAATGACAGCCTAAAACACATGGAAGGTAAAAGTAAAGTGCTCTCACAATCAATGTGATGGCACTATTCCAACCTAATAGCATGTCTCCCGTGTCATTTTGTGCTTTTCTTCTGTGTTGCCATGGTTATTACAATACCTATAATTCATTCAATTGCACCTATCTCTCCCAGAAGACCTGTTCCTGCAGTTTCAGACGAACGACAGCCCAGAAACCTGTGACTGCTGGGAGCAGGCGGAGCGGGTCCAAGTTTTCCGATCGATACCTGGGAGAGGTGAGATAAGGCTTCCATAGGACATGGCTGCTATTCGGCTCTCAACAGGAAATAGAAATAACCATCAAAACGTTGGCAGAAATACGGCGTTTACAATTTCACTGTATTGACTTTCTGCCCTGTGTAATAACTCACAATCAAAGTCAGATTTCATTCTTGAGCAGAAATAGCATGCTATCCCATTTACCTCAAATCTGGGTCCATTTATAGCAGCGGAGGAGCAGAGCAGAGGAGCTAATTTAGTTAGAGACTTCCCCCTCTGTCTTTAAGGAAGCAAACTGCCTCAGATTTTGTCAGCCATCATCATTTGCTCTGAAGAAAAATGAACAGCTCCTGATAGGCGGGAGAACAACCTGGAGTGTTTGTATGTGTGTATGTTGCTACACTCCTTCTAAGTCGAGCTGTATGTGCGCCCCACCCTATCCCAGACTCCCCCACGTCTGGCCTTCATGATCCAGTAATTTAGCAGGTCTAAGACACACTCCACATCGAGCTGTCAGTCAAGCCCCGGCGGCTGTGTGCTTCCTGACCTTGCTGAGCCGATCACAGCATCTGTCCTCCAACCACAACTGTCACATCTCACACGCCAGGCGATACGTCTGAGTCCGACTGAAACAACATATCCAAGACGATAGAGAGAGAGAGAACAGCCAATGTCGGTCGAGCTGGGCAGAGGTTTAACAATCCACACAGGAAATACGAGTCCTTACTAAGTGATTGTTCTTCTTTTAATGTGTCCACGTTAGCTCATGATTATAAGTGAGAGGGTAAATTTACTCTACTGACATTTTGGGTAAAAAAAATTCAAAATGTGAAGAAAGAACAAAACAACAGGCATGTCAGATGAACTTGAACAAGTACATACGTCAGGAATGCTAATGCTCTTTCCTTTCAAAGTCAACCTTGTGACATTTGATCAAGGTTAACTGGATCATAGCTCTATTTTGAGATGTAAGGACACTGTGAAAAGCTTGTGGGCAAAAATTGAAGGACAGAGAGAGAATATTTTTATTTTCCAAAATTGTCTTCAAGTATCTGTTTTGTAGCTTTATTTCATTCTGGGACTGAAGGACTCTGAACTCTCTGGACGAGTGAAAATGGGTCAGAGATGCAGGAATTGCAAAAAAAACGCTGTAAAATTTTGACCCATGGAAGCAGTAAATTCCTGTTTCCTCTTATCTGGTACTGAATTGTACCTCATGAATATAAACTGCACTCTGAAAGTGTGAGGACTTTGAATAACAGAACTGTGTCAGTTTAAAAGATGAAGACCTGTCACAGACTGTAGGCGCAGGTTAATGAGGGCACAACTCCGAGGCAGCCTCGAGACAGAGACAAGCTGAGTCAAAGATCTGAGACTCTGAGACTCTGATAACTTACTGCTTCAGCACCCACTCCTCACCCCATCTCCAAAAACTTTTCCACTTGGCTCATTTGACTCCCACTCCGCAGGATGAGACGAGTGCCGGGCGCCCTTGAAGTTTCAATGGCAAGAAACTTTTCCATCAGTGCGCCCACAGTTGCCGCTTATGATCACAGGAGCGCTCCGAAGAGACTCCTATTCATAAGAGCCGGCGGAATAAATAAGCCAAAACTGAGAGGAAAAGCCGACCAATTTGGGAACATTTGATTTGGAATGGAGGAGGAAGACGAGATGAAAGAGTAAAAATAGGAAGGAGAGAGAGGGAGAGAGAGGGAGAGAGAGGGAGAGAGACAGGGGGAGACTGAGTGTCAGGGGCAAGCCCTATTGATCTGGAGGCTTAATTAACCATCAGATGCTTCTGACACAGCCTCTGATCTTCTGTGATCAGTGGCAGGATGGCACCGCGCTGGGGGAGAGAAACGGGATAACCAATGGGAGAAGGAGGGGCAGGAGGGGAGAAAAGTGTGGATCATTGACAGATTACAAATTCACTCCACCCGAGCAGAGAGTGGAAGTGGGATGGAGTTGGGGGAGGGGATGAAATTGGAGAAACAGGTCTTTTTTTTTTGTACGCAATCGAGGTGTTCAAGGTGACAATGATGCACCTTTATGCCATCTCGTCGTTCTGTATACAAAAAGTACAAAGACAGAATGGGGGGGGAGGGATTTTGTTACGCCTGGTAACAGGGCCATGAAGCTCCCAGGTGAATGGGAGAGCCTGCTGTGAGGTTTCATCCCTGACGTTTAGTTCGTATTTAAATTTCAGTGTTCCATTTATTTTGTCATTAACCCTTACCTTTTGTGTGTTTTCGCCCCGGTGTGATTGTGTGGCCTGACCTTTCACCTCTGTCCTAACCATCTCACCTATTCCTGATTACCGGCAGTATATGATTTTTATTGTCCCATGTTTTAAAAAAAAAAAAAAAAAAAAAAAAAAAATTGTTGCCAGCTTCATTTTGAAACCCCCTGGAGGATGCAGCTTGAAGAGAACAAGAACAAGACCTGTGTGTTGATACATGTGACTACACTACACCATCCCACACATCAAGCCCTCCCTTCTCTGGTGCAATCACCTTTAGCTCCTGCACGTATGCATATGTGAAAGGTCTGTCGATGTAGAGATGACAGCGGTGACTTGGCAGTGGATTGAATTGCCAATTCTAATACAACCTGAAGAGACGAGATCAGAGCGCGCTGATGTCAACTGGGTAAAATGGGAATTGACCCGAGTGAAACCAGTTGGGAGTGGAGTGAAAGCATGAAGGATTGGGGATGACGTTAATCCCTGAGAGGTTTGAATAGTATAATAGCGTACCTTGGGATGCAGGGTGATGGGGGGGGGGCTTTGAAGGTGAAGCTGGTTGGGGGTTTAAGGAAACACATCAGAGGAGCTGGTGGATGTTAGAATTGATCAGGGGATGTCAGTTTACAGACAGCGCCAATTCAAGGGGGAAAAAAAACATCCAATGAGTGTGAGGTGAGCGGGTCAACCACACTTCCCATCGAGGTGAATTGGGAGTGACTGATAAAAATATAATTCAATTTACAGAGTCATTTTACCAGCAGAGGTTGAAAGAGACACAGAGGGTCCTGGGAGGGGAATGGGGGAGAAATGTGCTGATATATGACTCACCAACACGTCCCATCATATTAGTCCTCGGCGTGGAGACGTTGCCTAAGCCTTCGATGGTTTCGTACAGCGAGTTGGAGATGCGACGCTCGTGGTTGTCCAGTAGAGAGTTTGCTGAGTGCTCTGAAACCGGCGGGCTGCCAGGAGCTTCCTACAGGGACCGGGGAAGAAAAGGAGGCATGAGGATTTTAAATAAATAAAGTTTGCAAATCAGGTAGAGCAGGTACATAAAGATATGTGGCATTTAAGGGATTCTTTTCATGTTTACTTTTTTGGTACATTTTCACGACTTTCAGGTGTTTGAATTTGAAATAAAGAGTTATCTCATCCAAACATGACAATGTCTTTTTGCATGGTGTTTCTACGCACACACTGAAGACGACTCAGGGTTGAATGGCTCCGAGTCTTATTCTATCAATAGTCCAGAAACGTGGAACCAGGGCTCCAGCGTCCATCTTGGGCTTACGCAGGGTATTTTCTGGCTCAGCAGTGGGAAACAGCGTCGGTAGTAGTGTGAGCTGGATAAAGCACCATGGATTTCCCATGAGCCAATAGGCAGCTGTCTCTAACAATGAGCCCCAGTAAATGGACCAGTGACATTTGCCATGTGGTCGATATGCTGCACTGCTGGTTATTGAGCCCACTGTACGCTCTGTGCACGAGTGAGTCCTGACAGTGGGGGGCGACGGTTAGCGGGTAGGCTGTTGGTCTGGGACCACTGGACCCAGAACCTGTGTCCAGTTTTCATCAGTCAATACTCTGTGAAATGTGGTATTTTGAGGATGGAGACAACGGAGCCACCAAAGGAAGAAGGAAATTCTCACATCCACGTGCAGACAGTTAGAGAATAAAGCTCGGGCCTCGGCCTTTATTTCCCACAATGCTTCATATCAGCCTGTGGGCAGCTGGGGGAATGCACTGAACTCCCTGTATACAACCTATTACAGATAGCTCCCTCACAGCTAGATAGTTCAACTCTGTACCTCAAGCATGCTTTAAAACCAGGCGGCCCTGGCTAATATTGATGTCTCACAACACTCCACTGGCTCGCGGCCAAGAGAAAGGGGAGTAAAAGATCAGACAACAACTGCAGCAGGAAGACCAGAGTCAGGAGGAAGGGGAGGAGGAGGAGAGGGTTTTATTTTTTTGGGTGAGTAAATAGAAGGAATAACAAGAAAGGGAGGATTTGTGTGGGTGTGGGAGCTCCCAGTGCAGTGTGGGTGCTGCCAAGTCGCCTTTTCGTGGGAGTACCATGCCCTGGGAGTCGCATACCAGGTTAGAAGGACTTATCGGCTGTTTAATATAAATGAGAGGTTTAATGAGGTCGAGAGCACAGGACTTTATCGGAACAGCGTGTTGATAAGAGCGAAGAGGGAAAGACGTAGTGTGTGTGTGTGAGAGAAAGAGAGAGAGAGAGAGAGAGAGAGAGAGAGAGAGAGAGAGAGAGAGAGAGAGAGAGAGAGAGCAACGCAGGGCTGGGTCAACACAATTACAATCAGAGCCAGGGCCACTGTCAGCCTTATAATAAAAAGCATGTCCCTGGATGATTCAGACTCAATAAGGTTCAAATTGACGAAATGAAGATTTATTTTACTCGCTCCTCTCTCTTTCACTCAACCCCCTGTCTGCACTTTTTAATCTCTCTGAGATCTGGAGGAGAGTTGTCAGGAGCTGAAATAAAGCAAGATGGAGGGTTGGAGGTAAGAAAACGCGTGGATGGAGAGGAACAGAGAGCGAGCAGCTGAAACTAAATGATATGAAAACTTTGTATAGAATGTGTCAAGAGGAATTTATCTCGGTAAGACAACTACTGCCGCTCCCTCCTTCCATCTCTGGGAGCTGAACGGGCTTATTTTAAAACTATTCATTGGCTTTTATAGCAAATAGACTTTGGAATCTAGTGAACACAGAGGCAAAATGGCAGCAATTTAATCTTTGTGTATCCAGTATTAATTAAGTCTGCAGCTGTGCATGCTAATGATTTAGTGTTTACTGAAGTGCGCAGGTTTGATAGCCTGGTCTGACTACTGCAGAACAACTTATGTGACAAGTTGATATTAAATCTGGACTCTGATGTTGTCTGATACTAAGTATATCGCAGTAGTTATTGAACATTTTGGTCTTTTCCATGAAAGAAAATGATGAGGAAGAGATGCATTTTGCAATCCCTGCAGAAGAGGCAGCAGTTTAACAGAGCAAAGGAATGAGTGTGTGAAAAAAAACATGGCAGATAACACGAGCATCAATCATTGACAATGACACAAAGGAAAGTGCCAAAATACCATCATACCAAAATAAAACCATCGAGAGAAAATCCCTGGGAAGGATAAATGCTTTGAGTATCACCGTGTTAAAACCTTACAACAGCAACAAAAAACTGATTAAAGGACTCCATAAGTGGTTGTGTTCCTGTTTTTAGGTCTTTCAGAGTCTTTGTTGAGATTTCAGAGCCTTCTTACCGCCAGTTCTCATCACCTCATCATGTGTTTAATCTGCCTTAATCTAGTCATTTTCAGAGTGGATTATCCTGTTGACTGAGGGGGAGAGCAGAGCACTGTGACTCACACTGAGCCCAGTCAAGATCATCTAGCTCCCTCCGGACTCACCGAGCTCACCTGTGTGTGTTCAAGGTAAAGCTGCTTTTGTCTACGAGTGAGCGTAGTGTGCGAGTGTGCAAACCGGGCATTCATGTGCATGTGTTTATTCAGATCAGGGGTTAAATGCAGACTCATACACAAATATGTTTTTGCCTGTGCCTCAGCATCTGCCTGACCTTGAGTCCTCCGTGAGGGAAAAGAAGCTGTGTGTTGACAGGGCTGATCTTAAGCTGTCGACTAAGGCTAATAATGCCGAGTCCATGGCCATTTCCCCGGCCTTCTATCCCGGTCTCAGCCCGTTGCCGTGGCCCTAATCCAGTCAACCTCCACCATAATGCTGTAATTACAAACCTTAAGCTGCTGCATCCTGCCGCTGGGCACAACTCACCTCTCCGCTGGCTGGATACCCCACTTTCATTAACTTCTCACATCCACCTAGAGCCTCAACTAATGCCAGTGCTACCCAAAGCAGGCTGCTCAGGTCTTTTTGTAGTTTTTAGCAAAACTTCCATTTAAAAAAAACATCACGTATGAAATAAGTGAAAAGGGAAGGTATTTGAGAATAACTCCCAGATGGGTTTAACTGTTCCACCACTTTTGTTTTTCTACAGCTAAAGACTCACTATGTTTTGTTGTCACGGCAACTGTGACATATCAAATATGGGTCTCCCGGCATAAATCAGACACTAGCGTCAGGTAAATATTGACTGAATCTACTAGTAAAACGAGTTCATGGTCTCAGGAATGTGTTTGCCAGTTTGAATGGAAATCTATTTATGAGCTGTTGAGAAATTTTGCTAAAAACCACATATGTTAGCCTCATGATGGTGCAAAAAGATACATGTTGAAAGTCAACGGATTTAACACCAGGGGACAGACAATCCGATAAATGTTGAGATTTTCCAGTCTGGACCAAACACAATATCGATGGAGCCAAATAAGTAAATGTGGTGGTACTGTTTTCATGAAGGAGTTGGGAGTGGGTCCTGAGGATATACCTGTTCAGAACCACTTGATTTATATAATGTGGCTAAATAATTACTGTGGTGTATTAGCCTCATTTTTAATAACAGGTTCCCAATCTTTAGCGACTCTTTAGACAGCAAGTGAAACACAGTGACCTCTGTCATCTTTTAAGTTTATACTACAGGACAATGATGATGAAGAGTTTTATAAACAGTGCATGTTAAGCTTAACTTTAAGATAATTTAAAGCACAAACAAGGTGAACGTGCGTGTTGTTCCAAACAGTCCTTATCTCACAGCCGTTTAATCAAACGAAAGGTCCTCCATCTTATTTTTCCCTCTCTAGTTTGCACTTTGCAGTAGAACCATGTGCAGCTAATGAGGGAACATCACGTATACAACGTTACAAAGGAATGTTCATATGTACGTAAATACTTAGACATGGATATGTCGCTCAACAACAACTTTGGTTTTTCAGACACTAAAGCACACACTTCACCTCAGCAGTCCTCCACAGAGCCTGAGCAGCCCACTCAGCCACCAGATTTAATATATTATTTTCTCAATTGGTCCTATTGAGTTTCCCCTGCCGCTCTTAAATGAGTTAGTCCTTGGAGAGCCGGCGGGGAATGAGGGCCCAGCAGCACTGGAATTGCATTTCTGCTGCTCTGCGATCTACTTTCCTCGATTTAGTCACACTTTTATTGTAAACTGCATATCCCAGAGTGCACCACTCTGTCCCCTTACTTCTATCCTCTTTCCATGAATCACTGCTGCTTGCTATGACAGCAGAGGGGAGCTGATGTTTCTACATGTCATGATCTAACTGGACTACAATCCTTCCATATTTAATTGGGTTGGGGGTCCGGCAAAGATATCCCTCTCTCGCCCACTCTCTCTCTCTCTGGCCTCTGATGTGGCCAAGCATCTCAATGTTTTAAGGTCTCTCCCAGCAGTGGTCAGCTCAATACTAATAAAACCATAATTTACTAGGCCGGGCCTCTGATTGATAGCTCTCTCAAGACTCTATCGATCAGCTCTTCTCTCATCCAAGCAACATCTTTTGTCCGGGCCAGCCACTTCCTTCCCCCTTGTCTCTTTGCATAAACGTTCTCTCAGTGACTAACAGCCATGCTTTAGGGATGGATTACATACAGGGCCATTGACATGCAGAGGAGACCACGTTGCTGCTCCTTTATAAACAGACTGAGCAGTCACATCGAGTCTCTTCACAGAGTTGACTGCACCTTTATTTCTGCAAGGTCCTCTGATGCAATGATGGGAACAAGGACTCAGGGAGTAAGGTCTGTGCTGCTTTGATCTGTCTCCTGTACCCCCTGCTGCTTCCCATCAATAATAAAACCCTGCTTCAGCTCGCCCATTACCTTACCATGCTCGCTAATGGCTAGCGGTGAAAAAAAGCAGTAAGGTTGGTTATCACTTCAAAGCTAAGATACACCAAAGAAATGTTTTATGAAGAACATCTGTGCTTTTTGTGAAACCCGATTTTATGTACATTTCAAAATCCAAATATCACCTACCATCGTATGAAATATTGAGTACGTTTACACGGACTTGAGTACCCTGGT